TTACAGACAACAGCGGTTTTGGAGATCTCCAGAATCATGCAAATCTCACCAAGCCGGCTCCTGATCACAGTCAATGATGATAATGAGGTGATGACCATGTGTGGTTGGACCATACTCTGGAGATGGTACAAAAATTTTGCCATGGAGACGTGTTTGCAACCGATGATCTATGCAACACCTCAACACCAAGAGCAACTCAACCGGGTCATCCTTCGCTCTCAACAATCCTGGAATCGCACTAACGCTACCAGAGAACTTTGCCGCTTCGCAATGGAAAGTCGACAAGCCTTTATGGCTGAGTACGCTCGTGGCCAAGCCGACACACGTCTCCCTCCTGGAGTGGATACTACCATGTTTGTAGGCCCACCCAAAGAGTACGTCCAAGAGGTATGTCTCAAACAGAGATCACCGACTCACAGGGAGAGAGAGATTAATTGGCTTCGGACTATGTTGATTCAACCCGCATGGTTAACCAACTTTGAAGTGGAAACAGTTTTGCAAGCCATTCGCCTCCAGATGATTGATCGATATTTACCTCCTCCTTTGCATTTCAATTCTACCGCAGAAATCTTGGAGCCTTTTGTCAATGATCTCCCCAGTCTAGCTGGCTATTCTAAGGTGCTTTTCTTTGTGACTTTCCACCATCATTGGATAACCATTTCAGGTCTTAAGCATGAGAATAGGTGGATGCTGACTGCTGCGGTTCCAGACCCGAAAAGTTCACAACTTCCAGTGTTGTTTTCAGCCATCGCAGCCATATTAGAATCTTCACCGAGTATGGTCCATATTCAAGCCGTTGAGACTCGATCACCACCACATCTCTGTGGCTGGATGCTGTTACAGTCGCTACGGGATTATGTGTCTTTACAGATGTTTCCGGACACAACTCTGCTTCTTCAACGAATAGCAACGATGCCCAATTCGCGCATAAAAACCCTACTATTCGAAGAAGCTCTGAGTACATGGACTCGACATGCTCCGAATCAAGATTTGGTGACTTTTGCCGCTCAAGTTCGCATCTTTGTATTGGCACATATGGATACATGGACCCATGATCACATTTTGCACTTTGGGGGCATGTTTCCTTCGCCTACTCCTCCGAAAGCTCAGGCGTCATGGAACGTGGTCTCCCAGGCCACGAAGTCAAAAATCCTCCAGAAGATCCGCTCACATGTGCAAAGACCTTTCGTATGCCCTTGTGTACAAAGACTCACTGCTTATGTGGAAATTGATCGAAGAATTGCCTCAGATGACAACATCGCAATCTTTGCTGCTACGATCAAACCTTCTCCCCTGCAATGGGCTTCGCATTTTTGCCAAGAAAGTGTAATTCATGCTCCATGCTCACATGTCCAGACCACTGAAGTTATGATCCAAGTACCAAAGCTGTCGGCCAGCCTTATCCCTGGCCGAGTGGAGGCCATTATTTACCAGGGTCGAGTTACAGGTACAGCAGCTCAATTTGTCATCAGTCTTTTGGATTTGGAGTCAGGTATCCGCATTTTCCGACATGGCCGAAATCACGCCACCCTCAATCTCGACATTGGCGAGTTTTGTTCCGGTGCCTTTAGTGGTTGGACACAGGCAGGAAAGGTTTTA